CCGATTAAGTACAGGAAGTGGATTGGGAAAGATGATGACCGGTGGAGGGTTCCCGAAAGCGAGAAGGATTACATATGGGATGTCAAGATCCCAGAGTATTTCACTTTCCCAGCCGAGTATGACAGGGAGTTAGTCAAGAAAAAAGCAAAAGAAATCATGGGAACATGCTTCAAGAATTTCAAGGGGACATTGTACAAGAATTTTGTCCTCTGAAGTAAAGAGCCAGATTTCGATGGTGGACAGTTTAGCAAGCAGAAGGACTTCTGGCAGGATTTCAAGGAATATAGGTTATCTGAGGAGTACTTAGAATTGAGCAGGAAGAATAAGGAGAATTCGCATAAAGCGACAAATCCTCATCATCTCGGCTCTCGTGGCTACGCCAAAAAGATGCCAGAATTTGAAACAGAACTTCAAAAGATGGATCGTCTTGCTGAGGAAGGCGTTCAGGTTGAGACCACCGATTGGGAGCCCAGATCGGTATTATGCTGTATGGGGAGAAATGTACGACACGCCGAGGACGGGAGCTTTAGCTCCTCAAATCAACCCATGAGTGAACTCATCCAGAGGATCTCCTAGGTAACTGAGGAGGTGAGGCAAGGGACTCACACTTCTAATAGGGAGAAAGACGTGCTCACCCAAGCACTCGGAACCAAGGAGCACCCTGGTCGCACTAGAGGAACTGGTGTTGTTCCTTGGAAACTAGCATTCCCCCAAGAATCTAACACTTACCGGAGCCACTCTAGGGGTAGAGCGGAACATGAGGCACAGTATTTGAGGAGACTAAAAGAGATGGAAGACAGAATGGAAGCACGGATTGAGACGACCGTTGAAGCGCGAGTCGAGCAAATTTTGCTGTCTAAGGTGTCAGTAGTACCACAAAACCCTACGCCTAGTGCCTTTAGCCCACAGTTTAGGGGTCGCAGCAGCTGCGGATCGACCCCGCTCGACGAAGAAGAGGCGAATGTGCGTCATTCGGTGGACGACATTACTGAACCCATCAATGTCAGGTTGTACATCCGTCAGGAATAGACAAAGGACAAGGTGGCACTCGGCCAGGCCTGGCCTGCGGGAGATGGGACAATTAATGGCCGCCCAATTCCACTGGGGTATGCTCGCGTCACCATTGACAGAATACTTGATAAGAAGTATAACAAGATACCCATTAAGTACCCCGTAGCGGAAGACAGGCCGAAACTTGGTCAAAACAAGGGCTCTCAAGTGGCCTGGCACAAGCGCTTCATTAAGCTTGACCATCAATTGTCCTCTGATGATGAGGACGACTGCGAGTCTTCGCCCACCCGCGATGATCACTCACCATCTCCCAACAGAGATCACTCCCCTCCTCATCCGGAGCCATCACCCCCGAGAAGACAGAGGTCTCCTTCTATTCCTCCTCATCTGACTCCATCTTCATCAGCCCTGAGAAAAGAGACTCCTCCTCCTCCTCCATCTTCATCAGCGCCGGGAAAACAGAATTCTCGTCGTCATCCTCCTCCTCCACCTCAGCCCAAAACAAGATCAAGGACATCCTCGCAATCGTAGAAAAGGTCCTTGGATTCGATCGCTAATGCTCCCAAAGTGGACCAACAGAAAAGAAAAAGGCCGTTCAGTGGCAGCGTTACCACCTTGATGAAAGAAAAATTTACAGCACACATCTCGAAGGAAGATTGTGTTAGTTTATTCAATCTCTGTGCCTCACTGCCTTCGTTTTTGTTGAAGTCCGAATTCGAAAGGCAAACACAGAATAAATACGCTACAACAAGAGACGAAGAAATACACAATAAAGATTTAAGGAACATACAGAAGTACGTCGAAGACAACCCAGGATTAACCATGGAAGAGGCCGCGACCATCTATTATGATGTACAAGGGACGACAACACCGGCAATGAAGTATGAAAGGGGCAATCTTTTGGTTCCCGGTCATGAGTATAAAAATCTGATAACATATATGTGCCAGTTACATGAATATTACCTGGCTCAAGCAATAGAGACGGACGACTTTGATTTTGAGGTTATTATCCGTTCGCCACATGTTTTCCATTATCCTGAAGAAGAGAAGTTCGATGTCGAGTGGGAGTGCTTGTTCTAGCTATAGCAGAAACGCTCTCTCGATGTTTAAATGTTGACGCTATGGACTATGTAAGTACCTACACGCACGATTTTACAATTAACTACTCTCTCGAGACACAAATTGTTAACTTTTGAGCACTTCCTATGATTTTATGTAGGTGTATAGCAAAATTTTGCATTCTAAAAAGCAAATGGAATTACATAGGCTTCTTAGACCCCTTGCGAGTCAATGAGAGGACATGTCTAGGCCTCTATGGATGTGACGTGGAAGACCTGAAATAGAGATTGATTGCTGTTTTCGATGAATTCACGATGAAGAAGAAAATCCACATACTTCTAGCCTACAACTGCTAGTATGTGTTCTCGGCTTTTAATTTTATGCTTCTTTTTTCGTTAATATTATTTGATAATTAGGATTATGTGATTGTAGCAACCATTTCGTCTTCATTTATGTTAATCTTGCTAAAAATCTGATCGAGGTGTGGGGCTCGAAGAAAAAACCATTTAATCATCTGGATACACTGGTGGCAGTGCTGAATTAGTAAGCGATCCTAATAACATATTATTTTTTAATCACACATACCGCTTTCTAATGTTTCTCCCTTTAATGTTGCTCAGTGTCCGAAGAAGATATATCGGTGGGATGCCGATCCCATTCAAGGTTGTCGAAATGGAGGGGAAGTACCTGTCACAGCCGGCGGGAAACAATGAATGCGGGTTTTATGTAATGTGGGCAATGCTTCGCTACATCGGCGGGAAATCGGAAGAAGCCGATAAGTTGGTATGTATAATCCTCATTTCATTTATGTCTGTTAATAATTCAACAAAATGATTTAATGGTCCTCTTTGGATATCATATTTTTTGAACGACAGCGCAAGAAATATAACCATCAAAGGTTGTTAGACATGGAGATCGTCGCACTGCAATCGGAGCTCGCAAAATTCATCTTAGCCAAGGTATTGGAAAAAGATGGAGTATTTTCCATTGCACAATCCGTGAGGTACAAGGACCAGTATGGCCCAGAGCGGCTCGCAAGATTATTGTAAGAAGTTCGAGAAGCATGTGTGAAGTTCAAGAACATTTCTTTTTTATTTTGAGGGATCGAGATGTGGATAAGACTATTTGAATTGTAATCGTAACATTTGTAATGTTTAATATTGATGGACCTGTCGTCTACGTAGCATATAAAAAGCGAAATCCGATTCCACGAAAAAAATATAAATTAAAATAAATTATAAAACAATAAAATACGAACGGGCCATCACAGTCGGTTAGCAACAAACCGACAGTGTTGTCGTAACCATCACTGCCGGTTAGAAACAAACCGACAGTGTAGGCTTGATCAACACTGCCGGCTTGAACCATGAACCGACACTAATAGTTACGACAACACTGCCGGTTGGATCCATGAACCGACACTGATATTTACTATGGTGCCGTTCGCCTGGCTGGTTTTCAGACTAGCCGGCTGGTTTGTCCTCACAGCGGCACTATTCATCAACCAGCCGCTATAGTGTTTCTCTCTCACCCAACCAGCCGCTACAGTGTTTTGGCTTCTTTTTTTAGACAAGCGAACGGGGCCTATAACACTGCCGGTTTGATCCATGAACCGACAGTGTAGGCTTGCTCAACACTGCTGGCTTGAGCCAAGAATCGACACTCTTGATGCAACCGTCACTGTCGGTTGGCACTACAAACCGGCAGTGTTGTTCAACTGGACACTGCCGGGTGGCGCCAGGAACCGACACTGTTTCGTGTAGATCAGTGTCGGTTTTTAAGGACCGGCAGTGATGTCAACCCCCATCACTGCCGGTATGTCACTGTCGGTTCAAAATCCGGCAGTGAAGTGGGTTTTTGAACCGGCAGTGATGACCAGATCTGGGGTAGTGAGGGCGCCATCTGATTTGTCAACTCAGAGTGCAAGTCGATGAAGCTTAATGTATTTTCAGGCGTTCTGTGAATATCCCTTGGTCCTATTTGTGTACCTGCAAGGACAGAATTATTACCCGATGTAGTTGTGTTAGCGTCATCTTGCTGTTGGCAAGTAACATCTATGTTGTCCGTGGTTGAGGATAATTTGATGTCCGCTGCAACTGCATAATGAACCTGCAACACTGACCATTTTTTGTTTTGAAAGCGAGCATCGATCATTTCTTGCTTTCCAGATGTACCAAAGAGTTGTCATTATTTTCTGAAATTCATCATCTGAGGTGTTAGGGCCAATGATCATTGGCAATGTTTCCTGTACTCCGTCTTGTTCTTGCGGGAGCACTGAAGTGAGCAAAGGCGGTGTTGCTGTAAACCAGACTGCTCTTGCAAAGGTGCAATGGAAAAACAAATGGGAATCGTTTTCAATCATATTACATGTCGTACAATGTTTGTTAATTTTAGAGGAAAGGTTACCAGCTCTGTCTCCAGTTGCAAGAGCTCTTCTGATGAGCCTCCAAGTGAAAGCTTTAATGCAAGGAGGGAGAGTTTTATGTTTCCAAGTTCTTTTTAAAATCTGTAAAGCTTGAGTGATACCTTTCGCGCCTTGCTGTGGAATCTGAACCTGCAGTTGGTTATTAAGTAATCTGAATGCTTCCTTAGTAGTGCAAACCCCTTTCCTTGCTGGTTTCCATCTTATTATATCTGGAGAATCCGAAGGAACAATTGGGGTTTGGGTAATACATTGAGTAGCCTGATCATCAAATATCTGTGATATATATAAGTTCATTGTTCCATGAGTGACTTCGAGGGTTCCAAAGATCAGCAATTGATTGTGGAAAACTCTATCAACTTGTTTCCCAAGCCGGTCCTCTGCCGGCGAGAATCCTCCTACTTCCTTCTCCTACCTTCGTAGCTAGCTCGATTCCTCGCCGGACCGCCGCCGCAGCGAGCGGTGGTCTCACACCTTCCCCCTCCTCTCCCCCACGCGCTTCTCCTAGGTCGGCCATCGCAGGACCCAGGATGCCCGCCCGCCAGTCGCGCCGTTGCGACGGAGCTCAGGCCAGGAGGCGCCGGGGCACGAGCGGGCGAGGACAGAGCCCAGCCGCGCCGTTGCGGCGGAGCTCGGGCCAGGCTACACCGGGCAAGGCGAGGCCGCGGCAGAGGCGTCGCAGGGCGGGGACGCGGCAAGGCCGGTGAGGCGCGCCGCCGCTAGGCGAGGCCGCGCGGGCCGCCGCCTGCTTGCCCTCCTCCTCCGCGCGCCGATGGTCGCCGTGGACGGGGAGAGGAAGAAGGCGGCCATCGCGGCGCACCCGCAGCGGGGGGCAGCGCCGCCCCACCATGCTCACTGCCTTCCGCCGCGGCCCCGTCGTGCCCCGCGCCATCGCCACGTCCGCCGACCGCGCGTCCCCCGACATAAGCACCTCTGGTCTGCTCTCTATCTTTCGCCGTTGGACCATCATCAGCTAATGCGCTACCACTGTTTGCAATTTGCCTGCTTGATTTTCCTTTGTTTCCGTTGCTCTTATCGCAGCTTGTCCGAAAGTTCACGCTGGATTCCAACTCCGAGCTCCAGGCGCGACCGCGGGATTCCAGGTTCTTTCATTTGCTACGAATTTTATCTCTGTAACACTATTGGTCCATTGTGTGGGAACAGGTTGCATTGAACCCAGTGTCGCAGGGTTTGGTGTCAGAGATCGGCCTGGAGGTGACCAACATAGGCTGTTCCCTGATTCTGCATTGGGGAGTCCTTCGCCCGGACAAGAGGTGAGAGGCACTGATTCTCTTGCCGTTTTTTATGACAAAAATAGGAGTCAAACATGCTCTTATGCCATTTGCTGCAGACCTGTATTGTTTAAATCTACGTTTAAAGTTTCGGGGTGTCACATCGGCTGTCGCATAGGGACGTCGCATGGAGTGTTCGGATACTAATAGAAATACAAATTACATATTATTAAGCCTAATTAATCCGTCATTAGCACATGTGTTACTGTACCACCACATTGTCAAATCATGGACTAATTAGGCTTAAAAGATTCGTCTCGCAAATTAGTCGTAAACTGTGTAATTAGTTATTTTTTTAAGTCTATATTTAATACTCTGTGTATGTGTCCAAATATTCGATAGATATGGTGTAAACTTTGGGGGGAACTAAACAAGGCCTGACAGAGTATGAGTCACTCAGTCGTACATGCTCTTATGCCATTTGCTGCACTTTCTTTTAGATTGAATTTTATATATTTGAGCTCCTTGGCTGCAGAGATTGGATCCTCCCGTCCAGACAACCTGATGGAACGACAGTGTACAAGAACAGGGCTCTTAGGACGCCTTTTGTAAAGGTTAGTCGTCTTTGTGCTACCACAGAACAGTAGTTACTAATGTCCATAACTGTGCAGTCAGGTGATAGCTCTACTTTGAGAATTGAGATAGATGATCCTGCAGTGCAAGCTATTGAGTTCCTCATCTTTGACGAGACACAGAACAAATGGTAATGCTGTTGTTTGGATTACTGTGTATCACTGCTGGAGTGCTTGTTTATTTGAATTCACGAGATGTCAACCATCTGAACTCTACTCTGGACAGGTCTAAAAACAATGGCCAGAATTTTCAGATTCAGCTCCAGTCGAGCCGCCATCAAAGGGCAATGGTGCATCTGGTGCCTTCTCTTCTGCTACTTCTACCTTGGTGCCAGAGGATCTTGTGCAGATCCAAGCTTACCTTCAGCAAGAAAAGGCAAGCTTTTAGTACTAAACATTCCATTGTCCAAGAAGGAACTTGATGCACTAAGTTATTAGTTAACTAAAAATAGGTAGTTGTTGCATTTTTCTCCAGGAGGAGTGTGAAGCTGCACAAGCTGAGTTATCCTGAGATGGCTAGACTGGCTGATGAAACTCCAGTGATTCTTCCTACAAACATATCAGAGAATTTCTTGTTAAGGCCAGAATTGCTTGCCGAGAAGATCAATGAGAAATCAAGGCTCTTAATTCTCTGCTCTCCATCTAATCCAACAGGGTCAGTATATCAAAAGGAGTTGCTTGAAAAAATAGCTGATATAACTTATAAAAAAAACTGATATAGTCAAGAAGCATCCTAGGCTTCTTTTAATTTCATTGGTTTATATGAAACTTTTAATCAACCTGTTAAATTTCACTCGATGAACATCATGAAATGTCTTCTTTTTGAAGATTTATCTGATGATGAAATTTATGAGCATATTATCTATCAGCTGCAAAACACACAAGCTTTGTTTCACTGCCTGGAATGTGGGAAAGAACATTAACTGTAACTGTAAATGATTTTTCTAAGGTACTTATTTTTGTTGTCTACTTTGTTACCCCCTCTCCAGAAATGCGTGTGCACTTTATCAGCTTTATTTATTGCCCTTATCGTAAATATTAGAATGTACCTTTTTAGAACTAGATGCCTAATTTATTCCAAAACCAGAACTTAGCCATTGGTAATATAACCAAGTTCTGAAATATTTGATGATGGAACTTGGCCATTGGTAATATAACCAAGTTCACTCTATTTATATATATTTGCTGCTTTGTAGTTGTTGCCTGCTGATAGTCTGATACAAGATTAATCTTTCAAGTGCTTAGAAGTTACTTCCAGCGGCATGGCGGATTGGGCCTCTATTCAAACTGATGCTTAGCTTTGGAGATGTTGTTGTTGTGTGCCCTGCTTGTAGGAAAAGGTACCCCAAATCTTATTTGGATATGAAGTCGTGCTCCGATTTTACATTCAGGTTTGCACTGTCAATTCGCTGGCTTTGCTCCAAGATTAACTATTCGTTGATTTGTCATGGCTTTGCAGGTACAGATCAAATTAGATGAAAACTAACTTGAATTGGTTGATAAAAGTACTCACAGGGCTTCTATTTTCAGGAAATGACATGAAGATCAATAATACAAGGATGTAGCACAGCTGGGCAGGGGGCACCAGCAGCCGTAATTCAGACATCCACACAAGGTTCATTCAGTTTCCCTCCTAGACCAAGTAACATGTTAATGTTTCCGCGATGCTAAGACCAAAGGCTTGTCGTCTTCTGCTTGACATTAAAATAATAATTTGTTTGTTAAAAAGGCCAAAATCCTCTCTGCCTGTGAATTATTTCTCTAGTAGGCCTATGCTATACTTTGCAGTAGAGGGTGTGTTTTTCATTCTATGACATTAGTAAGTCGTGAATGCTCCTCCAGTGCATTGTGCAGGGATTTTATTAGCCTGTGAAATATCGACGGAAGCTAGCTGGCTGTGATCATGTACTGACGCAAAATTGTGTAACATAGAGAAATTTCAGTAATCACATGTTTTTTTTTTGAGTGTGATTGGTTATATTTTTATATACCTGTATGATTCTGCAAATTGTGATGCTGAAGTAGAACACACCCTTTTTTCTTTGAAAAAAGTGAAGTTTCGTTCTGACACTCAGTTTAAATTGCCTTATTCGCTTGGCTTATAAGCCGTACTTTTTCAGCCAACGAACAGTATTTTTCTCTCACAATAAATCAGCCAACAGTACTTTCAGCCATAGCTTATCAACCAAGCGAACAGGGCAATTTGCTCATGTGCCTGTTTTGTTCTCGGTTGTATGACCTTGAAATCCTTCGTATATGTGAAGTTACGGACTTGAAGTTATGGACATTTTTAAGTATACTTTTTTGGAGTTGCACAAGAGACAAGACAAATGATTTAATTCTGTTGCAATTTCCTCCCTATTTTTTGTAATCCTTTGTCATGACTAATTTGTAAATTTGCTTGAACAATGCTCGGACATGCATTTCTCTGACTGATAAGATTATTTGATTATTGCTTCTATCATGCTGTTTATCACAACGGCTTAAAGGAATGCTAGCTGAGATGCCAGAAGTTTCCGAGTTACATCCAGTACCAGATGCTCATGTGCCTGTTGTAGGAACTTTTTTCATTTTTCTCCTTTTGATGCGGCACTGTAGTGGCGGTTCTACAATTTCATTATGCAGGGATGCTGTCTGAATTACACTGAATAGTTATCCTGACAATTGGAACTCTGCTTGTCTTTTTGCAGTACTAATATTTCTGCATTTCTCCAGTATACAATTATGCGATTTTTTGTGCACAGATGCAGTCTGGGTTTCTCCAATTGCTTAGGTTCTTAATTGGGGGTTGCTGTTAAATTTTGTCATTGTGCTTGTCTTGTTGCAGTCTCCGTTTTTCTGAAACACGAAGATCTTATTTCAGTCAACGTTTTTCCTTTAACAAACACAAAGACCAGGGAGGCAGCGGCGCGGAACAGTGTGGGAGGCAACGGTCCCAGAAGGCTTGGGCGGCAGTGTGGGCCGGAGAGTATTTTTATTTTTATTGCCTAGGATTGTTCTATGTAACACATTATTTGCATTTGCTACTGTAGTTCCTTTTTTCCCTGTGCGAAAACCGGCTCAATGAAAAGAGAACACGGCAAAAGAAATACTCCCTCCATCCCAAATTGTAAGTCATTCCAAGAATCTTGGAGAGTCAAAGTTTGACTAAAATTATAGAGAGAAACACAAAGATTGATGACATCAAATAGGTATAATATGAAAATATAACTAATGAAGAATCTAATGATACTTACTTGGTATGATAAATATTATTATTTTGTTATATAAATTTGATCAAACTTGAAAAACTTTGAGATTCTTGGAATGACTTACAATTTGGGATGGATGGAGTATAACTTAAAGTTTGATCAAGTGATTCACGTGTGCTTTTGCCATAATACTCTCCTCTTGAATACCCTTATTAAATGTACCAAGCTCCAAGAGCATACTTATTAATGGAAGCGTAAATTTCTCTTTATAACTTTTATTACTAAATTAATTGTAAGTATTATTTCCGTGGCGTTAGCACGGGCTAGTAACTAAATATTAGAACATGGGTCCTTGATACTACTTCGTATTAAATAAAAAAACACACGGTACTGCATGCAAGCTTTCCGATTTAACCAAACATCTTCAGCATCACATCTGGAAAATGAGAAATTTCAGATTTATCTAGCATGGAAACTCAGAATGCCTTTACTGACTTCAGTGTTCTATAGTTTCACATGTCCAAAATGCAGTGGCATCTGAACATTTTCTCTACTGCAACAATACTAGGAAACAATGGACAGGCTAGAAAATCTGACTTTCAGAAACATAAGTGCCCGTTCCTTAGTGCTGGTTCAACATAGCAAGCAAACATGTGCAATTAGGTTTCTGATACATCAATATATAGTAAATGGACAGGCACCAGATAGATTTAGCTTGAACAAGGTATTAAGCAAGAAGGTAGCCTGAACTACATAGCGTGGTACCACGCCGGCTACCTGATTACAGACAAAGACGACATCCTTAATACTTGTGCTGCTTTAGTTGATTTGAGCTTCACCTTGACTTAATTAAGTGATAGTAGGTCCATCCTCATGCATAGCCTTCTATCCGCTGAACTGAAACCCTTCACATATATCAAAGTCATGCCATAAGTTGAGGAGCATAAAAAAAATACATGATAAACATATAGAAATGATGATAATAATATTTGGACAGCAATAAGATCAGCACAAAAGAAAATAACCAAACCACACAATAAGACAATTTGTCTCGAGGCTTGACAGATTTTTTTAGAATAATTGGTCAAAATCATTTAAATGAATATGTTTACCATAATTGTATAGTATTGTATATTGGCAAACACATGGTGTTATTATATTTTAAAACAACCACAAAAACTAATGGTTGTGCTGTTTAAGTGTCAGAATTTTTTTTGAGGAAGTGTTACCAATTTCCAAAACAAAAAGAACATGCAGCCATAAATGTTAGCACAAAAACAAGCCACCCATTGAGCAAAGGAAATCAAATCAATGTTGCGTTCTCATTTTAAAAAACAATTTTGTATTCTGGTATGACACTATTCATCTATTATATACTCACATAAAAAGCTAATGGTCATATTTTTATTTAGTTGGCAGAAACAAAAAAAATGATATGATATGATTGAACTTACTTTACTGCAATACAACATTATAAGCTGGTGGGTGATGATAAGATAAGAAAACAAAATGTACCAAATGATTGTCATGAAGAAAAAGTAAAATGATTAACAAGAATAAAAAAACAAGCATTTGTGTTTCATTCATAAGTAATAAGCAAGATGACACACTATGGTTCAGAGAACCAGAGCTAATAGAATCACTGCTCAGTACAGCTAAATCCAGACACTTCCATTCATATAATTTGGAACCATACTAACAAGGAAAACGTGAAGAGTAATGTCAGTTAACTTACATATGTTAGGTTGTTTACTAAGAAACATCAAAACATTGTGAACTCTATCGTCATATACTTCACATTTGATTTCAAGCGTCTTGAAGTGTTGTGATATTGCCGCTGACACCTCCAATGGTTTGCAGCTCAGTATAATCTCCACTTTATGTTTAGGTCCCTGTGGTAAATACAGTGATTTGCCAAGATCAATCGACAAATTAGAATTATAATTTGTTCTAGTTTCTACAACGCAGAAGTTGCATTTGAAATTATATACCTTTGAATATAGTTGAAGAGTGAGCTTTTCTAACACTGGTGAAAGTTTGAGGAGGCAAGCTAGGGCACTGAAATCAGCAGGCTCGCACCAGTATTCGTCAAGTAGCAAAGACTTCAATTTGTTGAAACTAGAGCAAAATTTTAAGTCCCTTCTGAAAATAAACTAGACAATGCAAACAAAGAAACATCAGTAAATCTAAATGTAGGCTGTAGGCATGAACATTATGACTCAGTGTGTAAGAATACCATTTCGATGTCGGGAGATATTAGCACCAAGTTCTGAACTTCCGATAAACCTTGCAAGAGAATACTTTGGTTGTTGTCATAATCAGAGTCAAGGGTATTGAGATCATAACCGTGGATTTTGACAACTGCTGTTAGTAAGGATGGCATCCTCTGAAGCGATGGAGTCTTGCCATCACTGACTTCAAGCCATAGTGAAACAAGATTCGGGGCACGGATAGGCAAGCGCGATTCATCACAAAAATAACCACGCTTGATGGTTAGACGCTTGAGGGATTGTGACGAGATGAGGTCAGGACACGGTAGGGCACAGCAAACAATCTCAAGGTCTTCCAAAAATGGGCAGCAGGAGAAGTCAAGGAATCTGGGCACCATTTCGATGAAATTTTCAAGCTCTAGCTTCTTCAGGTATTGAGAGATAAAGAAGGGATGGCCATCTCGAGGAAGAATGTCCAGATAATTATCGCCCACAAAGATGAACTGGAGCACCCGGACTTTGCACTGGAGAGCTATACGGATCCAAAGCACGATTCGGCTCATGTCAAAATCTTTATTCTCGTCGAGATGGAAACGGAAATCGCAGGTGTCGAGTGGCGTGCCTCCGCGGATGCGCAGGCGCAGCAGATGGTCCACGAACTCCTTAATCTCCTCCACGGACCCTGGTTCCTTCAATCCGCCGCACACGAAGCGCAGGACGGTGGTGGACTCCCACATGTGGCGCCAGCGCTTGGCGAGCAGACATGTCCGCACGACGTCCTGCGCCGGCAGGAAGGAGAGTATATGCTGCAGCACGCCGTCCGGGAGGTTGCTGATGCGGTCGCGGCCTTCGACCGGAGCTGCAGCGGCGGCAGACGCATTTTTGGGCGCTTTCCGCGGAAGCATCCTGCCGGTCGTCCGGTCGAGGATGCCACCAGGGACTGTGGGTGTGGGACAAAAGAAACAGTCAAAGAAGACAAGAGGTTAGCTACATTGAAACAGCTCGCAGATCGATTCACGGAGGAGGACGAGGAAATGGATGGATATGCATCTGCATCAATCACCTGAGAGAGAGAGAGAGAGAGAGGCGGCGGCGGCGGTGGCCGCGCAAGACGATTCCCTTGCGCTCGGCTCTGCCCTATCCCCTTCTCTCTCCCGTCCACTTCTCCTCAGATCCGTGACAACCTCCAAAGGGCGGGCAGCGGCGGCGGCCAACCAAGGGAGGAGCGGCGGCGGCGGCCCCCAAACTGCGAGAAGCAGCGAGGGCGGGCCACAAGGCCACAAGGGGCAAGCAGCAGCGGCGGGCGGCTTACTAGCTTAGAGCGGTGGGGGCTCAGGCGTGCGGCGGCTCGCGGTTTGCTGGAGCAGAGCGAGGCGGCTCGGGCTCGGGCATGGGGTCAACGGCGGCCCGGCGGGCGCAAGAGCGGCGGCGGCGGCTGCGAGCAAGCTCAGAATTTACTGTGGTTGACCGGTCGGTCGCGCTTTACTCTACCTTCCACGGGAAGCCTCACCCTACAGCAGTTTCGAGCTTTTATTTCCTCCGTCCTAAGATAAAAATAATATAAATCCTGTTTTTCGTTGAGTCAATTTATAAAAATATATCAATAATTATATTTTTAAATATATTTATTATAAAAATATATTCCATTTAATGATATCTGTTACAATTATAAATATTTGTGTATTTATAAATATATTAGTGGACACCCCACATGCGATATGTAAGTATCTGAAAAAATTAATATGCAGCGAAGAATGGCAACGTTGGACCTTGCACTAAACAACCAAATCTTATCAAGGCATGAATATCCATAAAGGTCGTATTGGCCGGATCTAGACGAAAATTCAAGATACATGGTGACATCGATGGAAACCTCATACATGGCCGGATCAAAAGGTGGGGAATGATTTTGGGATGCTTCACATGGATCATGGTGACTTGGCATGGTCTGGTGGGCCCATGTAGAGGTCGAGCGGCCTCTATATGGAGCTCCACAGGCTCATCTTTTCCTATTTTGTTGTGTCCTGCGTACACATGCTCAAAGTACAAGTAGAACCTGTTATTGATAAAATATGCTTATGACATGTTATTCTTCGTTTGAAACCAAGGTCGTTGACGATGTTTTGAGTGTAATTTTGTGACATTTTTACCGTCAACAGTGGCTCGGGCGACCATCAAGGCGAAGGCGGAGACGTTCTAGGCGGAGGCTCCAGGAAACCTAAAGGATCTCCGCCGGTCTAAGGAAGGGATCTTCACGGCGCGGGGACCCCGAGCCGAGGATGGGCCTCCAACGAGCCTGGCACTAAGGCCCATGAAGCAAAGGCGGTAAAAGTAGAGAAGACCTAAGATGCCCCTAGAAGGTTACACTTGTGCAGGAATATTTATGGGGATATGCTTTAGTTGTCAAAGGGTAAAAATGTAAAGCAGTACCCTAATAAATAGTTTCCTATAAAAGAGGGAATCAAACCCTATGTAAGAGGGAGGTAGTTGGATAACATTTATAAAACTTTAATTGTGACTGGGCCCACCTAGCGTTTATTACGGAGACTACCGTCCTTGCTGGGATTCTATTTTCCCAACACAGGCTGACAGCAATGAATCCGCCAACTTTCTTGGCAGTGCAAAGGACTTTGAACCTCTGTTGTCGAGTTTTCCTTTGCTCTTCTCCTGTTCTTTTTGTTCTTTGCGAGTTCTGCCTGACTTAGAGCAAAGCTAATAATACAGTCGGTTTGCTGGCTGTAAGGTTCTTTGTAGCCTTCTCTCAGCCCACTCATATAGTAGTTAGCTCTTTACAGTTAATACATGGCCCACTTGTCTCTCTCACAGACTTTCTTGGTTCTTGTGTCCAAGCCGGCTGTAAGCTTACAGCCCGCTTCTTCTCTTTCTCCTCCCCTCTCTCCTCCACCTCAGCATTTAGTCGACTAACAGCCTGCTATTATACTTGCTCTTAGGCCGCAAACACTGTGAGCAACACTCGCTCACACACTATTGATAACGTGTAAAACATTGAATGCTTGAATGTAAAGAGACATTGAATGTGTGGACGACGAAAAGTGAATTGGGTCGATCTCCGCCGCCGGGACACCCAGCAAGCCAAGGGAAACTGAATGAAGCAGATCCCGAGCTCTCTCCGGACCTATGAGGACACCAGACCGGATGGTTGTGACTTAGGGCGTGCCAGTCAATTTAATCTTGTAATTGACAAGAAAGAAAGATTGGTCAGTAATTTAAGGTGGAACATGCCAGTGTTTGTCCAGACAGTTCCAAATGTACGGTTAAGTAGCCGATGAGATAAGACTATCGACTAAAGAGTCGATATCTATCATGTTCATGATGCATGATAAACAAAACAAACATATCGGCAATTATTAGTTACTCAATTGTATAGATCTAAATAGCCGATGACCATAAAAACACGCAAAAGGTGTAAAAAGTAGACGTGGAAGCATTCATATTAATTGAGAAGCATACTAGCTTTTAACCAAGACAAAAACAAGTAAAAACATGTAAATAGCCAATATATTGTCAATAGGCGCTATTGGCTAAAATAGCCGATTCTAGTGAAAGTAAAGTCGTAACATGCAAGCACTCAACCATTAAAAGTGAATAAGTCCATACACTTATCAGATTCAATCTACTATCTCTAACAGTGAGATTCGAGCCAGACCAATGCATCCATGATAGAGATAACGGGTTAAACCTTCAAAGAATATGAATCTATACGCGCTTAATGGAATTGTTAAAACATGCTACGATCGTGGAAGCACGGGTGATCGGCTAAATAGCTGATGCAGACATAGCATGCAGCTAGAGGCTATGTTTGACCATAGACAAGACTTATTACTTGGTGATTTCTAATCTATAATGCTAACAGTGGGGGTCGACCGGATCGATGGCAGTCATAATGACAGTTCTAGACCAGATTTCATCAACTAGCAAGCTCACTTAGGGTTAAACACGCCTTGACCACATGCTATCTTTGATCAAGATTGGATCAAAATGGCTAAGCTAACCGAAACCATCATCAAAGCGAGATATAAACAAGGTAAAGCAATAAGACGATGATTCAAAGAGATATAAAGCCAATTCGTTTCAATCTTAATCGGGTAAGGGTGATATTATTATAAATAGTAAGAAACTAATTATAACAAGATCGATAACTAGCAAATCTACTAAAAACAGCGAGGAAACCCTACCAATCTTAATAGATTTAGCCGATAACTAATCCATATCAAAATTTGTATGAGATACGAGTCGGACCGATTCAACCGTACAAATTTTGATAAGAATCGAGGGTAACTTGTATCAGTAATTGTAAGAGATACGAGCCAGACCGATGCAACCATACAATTAACTGATGATAACTAACTTATACCAAACTTGTAAGAGGTCAGATCTAACCGATGCAGCCTTACAAACAAAATATAAGTCGTGACGGATACTCACAGACAAACCGAAGGTCCACTACTAGGAATATCCACTTCTATGACGAATAGCTTTCGTCACTGAAGGAGCCAAATTCGTTATAATTTCAGTTCATGATGAATTTTTGACGAAAACCGGTTCGTCATAGAAGTCGCCTCATACTTAAACTTCTATGATGAATATAGGAATTCATCATAGAAGTGGCTTGATCTGTGACAAAAACAGAACATCATAGAACTATTTTGGCATGCATGGCAGGGGGCTGCCACGCTGGTGGTTGCTCCCGTTAGAGATGCTTTCTACATGTACATGTTATAGCCGGTTGCATTGGAGATGGTTCGGGTACGTGTTACCTTCTTATTGCACAACGTGGCCATCTCTGATTCTTGCACGTTTCAGGTTATTACTGGACCACGTGTCGGGTTCCTGTTATTTCACATGTCAGTTTTATATGGGCACATGTGTCGTGTTGCGGTTGGATCATGTGCCACTTCTTCATTGGACCATGTGACGTATTTTTATTGGACCACATGGCCATTTCTTATTAGACCATGCGTCACAGCGTTGTTCGTCCATATTTTGCATTTTTATTCGGCCACGTGGCTTGATGACATCCTTCCACGTGTTAGATTTTTAATAGCCCATGTGTCGTGCCCTGGCTATTTCACTTGTCATACACTGGTTCCTCCACGTGTCGCATTTTTATTTGATCACATGGCATGTCCTGGTTCTACCGCGTCGAGTACAATCAATTCGTCATAGAAGTAATTCGAGATCGTTACTACTGCACAGATTGACTACATAACAATTTAGCCTGGCAATCAAATAACAACAATTAACATTTCACACGTCAGCAGCGAACCACTGATAGAGTATGACAATATCAAACCATCACATGCGTCCACACAACAGACCACAAATGTTCACCGCATCAAGCCGCAGGAGTTGAAGACTGAGAGTTAATTACCAGGAGAGCTTAAGCGCATGACTAGAGCACAGAGCCTATTGTACTCATCATGTTGCTGTTGCTTGAATTCCTCAAGCTCCCTTTCAGCCTTTTCTGTCCTCACCTTCAGTTCATCCACTAGTTCGACGAGCTTAGATGTACTTTCCTATTCACTAGTAAGCTGCTCCTGAAGTGTCATCTCCGTCGATGTCTCTGCTCTAGTGGAGCGTCTCAGGATAGCAGCATTCTTTAAAAAAGGTTTTTCCTGCTTGCCTGATAGGGGGCTTGCCCTGGTAGATGCAGAGGACCTTGGAAACAACATCAGCACTAGTAATTGGTTGCTGGCCATCAGTAATAGGTTCTGCTTGCATATCTTCCATAGCTTCCTGCGAAATTCAATCAGTAAAACATTAGGTTACAGATAGTGGGAGATGACTTCAACTAAAAACCCAAGAGATTAATTCATAACAAGTAATGCACAGGACTTCCTCAGCCTACTGCTGATAGAGATTACATAAGCACAATGCATAGGTC